TCGCCGCTCTCTTGCTGCAAGTGTGGTAACGTCTGGGCTCAGATATCTTGGGGGAAGGAGGAGTAAGAGAAGCAGGGGATGGGGAGAGCTGGCCTGTAATCCTGTTACCATAAAGGAGGGGGGAATAAAAATGAATTGTAGAATATACTCGGATATTTTTTTTACAGATTTATTACATGTCGTTTGGGGTGTTCGGAATATTTTATGATGCACTGCAGCCAAATCAGCAACATTCTTAAAACATTATTCATATAGAGTGATTTAGGAGTTGGAATGTGCTTTTCAGGTATAAAATACTCTCTCCAGAGATGTACACTTGGTACTTATGAGAGCAGTAAATTCTCAGGCCTTCTTATCCTCTGTATGTTTGCTGTGATATTACGCTTTAATTAAGTTTATTTTGAATATGTTTAGTCCCTCATCAACCATTTTAGCCTTTGCTGCCTTTTACTGATTGTTTTGTTATGCTGATATTGCTGTGCGCTTACACACACACACACACACACACACACACACACACAGAGTAAGGTCCTCCGTGTCCATTGAATTCAAGCATCCATGGCTTGAAAATATTTTTTAAAAAATACATTCCAAAAAGAAAACCTTGATTTTGCAATTTTGGGTCACAATTTTATTATCCATTGTATTTAATGAGACTTGAATATCCATGGATTTAGATATTCACGGAGGTTCTGGAACCAAAGCCCAGCGGATACCAAAGGTCTGCTGTATATGTTTGGGGTTTTACTTGTCTTTATAATAATCAGATACTGGACACCTAATAAAAATAAAAATAAATGTAGATCCATTGATAGCTTACTAGTTCAGCCTTCTCTAATAGGGAGAGCATATACTTATACAGGTGAATCATGAAGACTTGCGGGTTAAGGCAATAAGATCACTTAAGAATTGTTGACATATTTTATACATAGGCAGAATCACCAAAAGGATGCAGAAACCAAGTGATAGCAGGGGAAAGAGAAAGAACCGTGACAAATAGATATATTGGGGGGACAATAGGAACTACAGGCTTACAGGCCACAAATTACACAAGACAAATGAGTTACATCTCTGGTGACACTAAATCTCATGGAGCAGGAACAGTGCTTGAGATAAATTTGTCATTCATACATCCACAAATCCACTATCCAGATTACTAGTGGCAAGTGTATCAGGCACTGTGCTAAGCAGAACCATATCCTTTCTACAGAGGTCTCATTTTCACTACAGTTTTTGAGCAAGGAAAAAATTGAATTTTCTGACAAATAGCATAAGAGAATACTATACCAGCTCTGTGGGTTGGATATTGAAAGAACATGGTGCTTTCATTCCTACCTATGAGGTTCATTTCAGAAAGTGACATTGTAGAGGTAGGTTGTTCAGTTCCATTACATGTGTTGTAAGATCCCAAAAGGATCCCTCCTATCTCCCATAGTCTCCATATCTGTGCAAGGGGCCATCAGGACATGCCAGACTAATCACTCCACTGGCTGCCAATTCATTTCTGGGCAACGTACAAAGTGTTGCTGATTATCTTTAAAGTCTTACATAGTTTGGGCTCAGATTGCCTATGGGATCACCTTCCTCTGTATGGGCCTTTGCAGACTGCCAGAAATAGTGCAAATTGAGTCCACTTTAAGGGTTCGGGTTAGTGCTAGGGAATCGTGGTAATTGGTTTTTTTCTGAGACATTGAGCCTTCTCTGTCAGAAAGCTTTAGTGCCACAATAAAATATAGTTCCCATGATTCCCTAACCCTAACCCTTAAAGTGGACTCAATTTGCACTATTTCTGGCAGTCTGCAAAGGCCCTAAAATAGGCCCCATAGACTCAGGTTCTCTAGGGGACATTTACTTCAGTCATCAGGACTAGGCTGAAAATGTTGATGATGTCTGGGAATTGGGTTTGCAATCTATTCATTGCATTCCCCAGTATCATCACTTGAGGTTGAAGGAGCCTCAGTGGTTAGGAATATCTACAACCACTCCTGGACAGGGATAAGGATAATTCAGCCATAATAATTCGTAATCATTAGAGTGAACTGCAAGTGAGGCTACTCTTGAACACAACTAATAGTGAGCTTCAACTAATGCAGAACTCAGTAATCAGAAATATAACAGGATAGAAGGCATCATATCTGACATAATGAAGAAGCCATGGAGGTAACCTATTCACTTCCAGGCCTAATTCAAGCAGCTGGTTGCTAACTTTAAAGCCCTAAACCAGGGACCAGCAGCCTACGGCCCGGGGGCCAGTTAAGGCCCCGGTCCCTGGACTTACTGGCCCAGGCCGAAGGTTGCCGCCGCTGCGATGCATTTTTGCCACTGTGCAGCCGCACTCGCTGCAACTGCCATTTTGGAAATCAAAATGGCGGTCGCGATGCGTTTGCACATGCTGCCATCCCCCCCCCCTTGGCCCAGCCAAGACCTGGGCTACGGGAGACCGGCCCAGGTCTTAAAAAGGTTGCCTTCCCCTGCCCTAAACAGTTTAAACCCAAGCAGATGCACTTTGGCCATGACTTTAAAACATTACTTAATGTTTAGCCATGACTTAAAAACATGTACAGTTAGTACATCTCTGATTTGTAACTATCTCCTCAACATTTAAACTCCAAATCTTTTGCAGCAACAGTTAACCCAAAAAAAAACATTGTTTCACCACAGAACATATGGGGTAATTGATGGATTCTGACAAGCAAAATAGAATACAAAAAGAAACTAGATCTAGATCCTGCAAGCGCCACAAAGTATCAATGAATGAATTAATGAATTACTGTATATACTCATGTGTAAGTCTGAAAATTTTAGTCAAAACATTGACCCCAAAAATCTGAGTTGACATGGGTCGCAGTAAGTACTCTACTTTAACTTTTATTTTTTTTAAAAAAACAAACCATCCCTTGGTGAAAGACAATAATGCAATCTGTCCTGGAGACACTGACCTCCCTCTACTCCCTCATCCATTCAGCCTTTAGTGTGAGCACAGTTATGGCTGCTGGAATTTTGTACGTTCTTTGGCATTATTTCCTTTGCTTCATCCCCTCAGTTTTACTCTCAACTTATCCATGTGCCACTAAATTTTGTTATGTGCTCCTACGTTTTACCTTCAACTTATCCATGGGTCAAATCAAAATCCACAGGTCATATAATTTGCTCACAAAACTTAAACATGAGGTCAACTTATAGTTCAGTATATGCAGTATTCATGAAGCATGCTGGCTGACGAAAACCTGCTTTACCTGTGGCTCACATGGCTACTCTCCATATCAGCGTCTGCAAACTGTAGGACAAGTACTACTATGGAAAGGAATCAGACAAGCGGTGCAAGCCATGTTATTAGTGCAGCCAAGCTTTACTGTTCAATGTGGCACACAACTATTTTCCCAGCCAATTACCAGCCATGTGAATTAGACATCATCCATTAGATCAGTGAAAAGTAATACCAATGAACAATGTAGCAAAGAGGCAGTATCCAAACTGTGAGTTCTGAGATTGACATGGGGACATTAAAATACAGACATCCCCCTATCTGAATGACATAAATTCCATTCGTAACCGCGACATCCCAAAGAGTCAGGTCATACAGTTTCATACTTCCTAAATAAAAGGCACAGTCAAGAATTTAATTACAATTTGACAGTGAAAGAAACATTATTTGCAACATCATGTGCAGATCTGCAATTTCCCCCAACTTCTTTTCCAATACCCTTAAATATCACCTGCCTTCAGAACAGTTATAAGTCTATAGCATTCCAGTTTTACACAGAAGGGATATTAATTGGCATGGTCAAAGCCAGTGGCAAAACAACAATCTGAACACAGCTCTCCCAGTGAGACTCAAATCTGAAATGTTATTCAATAGTGATCAAACAGATTCTGAACTACCTATAACTAACAGTGTGATGCAGCAGCTAAAAAGGCCAATGCGATTCTGGGCTGCATCAATAGAAGTATAGTGTCTAGATCAAAGGAAGTAATAATGGCACTCTAGTCTGCTTTGGTCAGGCCCCACCTGGAAAACTGTGCCCAGTTCGGAGCACCACAATTCAAAAAGGATATTGACAAGCTGAATTGTGTCCAAAGGAGGGCAACCAAATTGGTGAAGATCTGGCAACCATTCCCTATGAGGAGACACTTAGGGAGCTTAATATATTTAGGCTGGAGAAGAGAGGGTTAAGAGGTGATATGATAGCCTGGTTTAAGTATTTGAAGGGGTGTCATACTGGGGATGGAACAAGCTTGTTTTCTGCTGCTCTAGAGAACAGGACCCAGAACAATGGAGTCAAACTACAGGAAAAGAGATTCCACCTCAAAATTAGGAATAATTTCCTGGCAGTAAGAGCTGTTTGACAGTGGAATACAATCCTTCAGATAGTGGTAGAGTCTCCTTATTTGGAAGTTTTTAAACACAGGCTAGATGGCCATCTGTCGGGAGTGCTTTGACTGTGAGTTCCTGCATGGCAGGGGTTGGACTGGATGGCCTTTGTGGGATCTTCTAACTCTATGATTCTCTCCTTCCCACTATTCCTATTTCCATTATCTCATGTCATCTAGAACCAATACTGTATGCCACAGCATATATTTAGTTGACATCATCTACCGGTATGTATCACTCGAGAAATTCATAAAACCAAGTTTAGCAACCTACCGTAGTTTCCCAAGAGAGGAACGGGGTAGACCTGTCAGAGCACTTTTAGCAGGAAATTAAAAGGTAAGTACGGTAGGTTGAGTATTTTGTTGGGTTCAACTAATACACTGCAAATTTGTTAATTATTTTTTAATTTGAACACCTCAGTGCTAGAGACTGCATATAGACATACAGTACTGTATTTTACCATTCTTGTTGTTAAAGATCAGAAATGGCATCAGCTGTTCAAGGTACAACAGCTTCAAGGCATCTCTATTTTAAATTGCTTGATGATACAAATGAGCACCTGCTAACAACAGTTCACTACCTTAGATAGACTTTTTTTAAAAAGAGAGAGATAATTTCATAGATGACAGCCAGCATGGCCTTGTTGTTTGAGTGTTGGACTGAGACTCTGGAGACCATGGTTCAAATCCATGTTCAGCCGTGGAAACCCACTGGGTGACCTTGGGCAAGTCACACTCTCTCAGCCTCAGGAGAAGGCAATGGCAAACCTTCTCTGAACAAACCTTGCCAAGAAAACCCCATAGTTGCCATAAATCAGAAACGACTTGAAGGCAAAGAACAACTGTGCAATACTCACAGGGCCACAGTTTTCCCACCTTTATTTTAAATGCAGGAAGCTCAAGCAGGTGCAAGCAAATATGCAAACATGGAAGCATTATAAAGACACCATCTTTCATCACTAGAAAAGAGAAAATCTTCACATACTAAGGTCTGGGCAGTACATTAACATCCAAAATCCACAAAAAAAGAAGCGATACCATTATTGGACCAGCCAAAATGAACAAAATTGGGCCAGCATTGCTACCCCTAAATAACCTTTAAGGTCTGGGAAGATTTCATTGGGAGGTATTTGTATTTGAAGTGTTTATAATAATAATAATAATAATAATAATAATAATAATAATAATAATAATAATAATAAAATTTATTTGTATACCGCCCAATGGTTTCCCAATCCGGGCGGTTAACAGCATAAAATACCATACAAAATATTCCCTCCCACCCTTAAAACAGTATTAAACCATTACAAGTTAAAACAATCACGATTATATAGTGTTTGTAATAGAGACTGTTTTTAAGGGGTTTTATCCTTTGATAATACACTCGGCCCTCCACATTTGTTGCTTTGATTTTTGTGGATTTGATTATTCATGGGTTTTATATTAATATGTTCTCTCTAGGAATATCTAAGTCCTCCATCACAACTCTATGGTCAACTTTAACCAAAAATCTCACTGAAGGACCTAGAGATTCCTAGAGAGAACACTCCACTAGGCCTTTGTGGCTCCTCCAGCACAATTCTGTGGTCAATGACTGGCAAATATTGACCATAGAGTTGCATTGGAGGACCTAGAGATTCCTAGAGAGGCGTTCTCTCAGGTAAAAACGTAGTGTTTTTGTTATTTGCAGTTTTTCCACATTCACAGGGGTCCTGTGCCCCTAACCCCAGCGAATGTGGAGGGATGAGTGTATTTTATTCCTTTCATGAGTGATGTTTTGCTATTGTTTGTGCCATGGTGGTTTGAGCGTTGGACTACGACGCTTGAGACCAGGGTTCGAATCCTGGCTCAGCCATGTAAACTCACTGGAAGGCCTTAAGCGAGTCACACTCTCTCAGCCTCAGGGGGCAAAAAGCAACAGCAGACCCCCTCTGAATCTTGCCAGGAAAACCCCATGATAGGTTCTCCAAAAGTCGGACAACGACTTGAAGGCACACAACGACAACAAAATGTTGGTTCTGTGGGGGAAACAACCACCGCTTGGCAAGGTCACGCCTTGAACTACAACTCCCATAAGCCCCATAGGCAGCTTGGGATTGTGGGATTTGTAGTCCCCCTCAAAAAAAATCATTTAAAAGTCCAGACCTTCCCCTCTCAAATAAAACAACCTCTGAGGAGAAATGGGAGTTTAAGCACAGCCACAAAGCTAAGGCGTCTCCTTCGTCCAAAACACACAGCAGAAATAATCCAGTTTGAGACCGCTTTAACCGCCCTGGCTCAGTGCTAGGGAATCCTGGGGATTATAGTTTATTGTGGCACCAGACAAAGAAGGCTAAATGTCTCACAAAACTACAGTTCCCAGAATTCCCAAGCATTGAGCCATGGCAGTTAAAGCGGTCTCAAACTGGATTATTTCTGCAGTGCGGATAGGACGCTTTTCGCTCCTTCCCTGCCTTCCGTCCGGGCCCTCAGTGACCCCCAGCCCAGCCTCCCGGCCTTTCCCTCCGTCTCCTCACCCTTCAGCCCAGCTAAGCGCCTCTTCCCTGGAGAGCCACCATTCGAGAGCCGCCCGAAAACCACACAGTCCAATTCAAAAAGCGAGCGTCCACTTGTCGGCGGCCTCCCATTGGCTGTCCTCACCCACGTGAGGAGCAAGGGGCGGAGAGAAGCACCCGTCGCAGCTGAAATTCTCCACTCTCATTGGTGGGTGGTTCCAATTAAGGGGCGGGGCTAGGAGATGACATCATGGTTGGCTTTTTTTCCCCCTCTTTCCCAGGCTTTTGTCATGGATACCGGTATTGTTTTGGGAGGTTGGTTGAGCAGCGCTGGAGGGGGACGGTGATTGGTCGACATGAATGGCCGCCATTTTGTCTCTCTGGGAGTTTTTTAACCTCGCGGGTCCTTCCCGGCTCCGTCCTTTTCCCCCCTCCCCTCACAGAATAGAACGCGGCTCCGGATTGGCTGGAAGGGATTGAAATTCTCCCCGTCCCTTCAAACGTTTTTTTAAAGAAGAGTGAGGAAGCCAGCGTAGCTTAGCGTTTTGCGCGTTCGACTACGGCTCTGGAGGCTGCAGGTTCGATTCCCGCTCGGGAAAGAAATCCAGTGGGTGACCTTGCGGGAAAGTCGTCACACTCTTGAACTCTTAAAAAAACACACGTGATAAGTGTTGTAGTGCTGTATAGTTATCTATGGCTGCCACCTGGGGAATTCTGGGGTTTGTAGTTTATTCACTCCTTGGAGCCCTCTGGTTGAGATTGTTAAATGTCCCTCCCCAAACTGCCAGTAACAGGATTCCACACAGCAGTTAAAGTGGAATAATTAACTGTAGAATAAAATGTATAATAATAATAATATTGTAATTTTTATACTGTTATGCATATAATAATTATAATTATTATATAATAAATAATGATAAAGTGGAATAATAATATTAATATAGCTACAATAATTATACTATTGCACATATGATTAATAATAATAGTAATAACATTTATATATATATATATATATATATATATATATATATATATATATATATATATATATATATATATATATATATATATATATATATGTATATGTATATATACCACCTCTCTGCAGTGCAATTGGGGTAGCTTACAACAGTAAAATACATACCTTGTTTTCCTGCGTATAAGACTACTTTTTAACCTGCAAAATCTGTGATTAAAGTGGGGGGGGGTCATCTTATACGCCGGGTCATCTTATAGCCAGGACAGTTAAAGTGGCCTCAAGCTGCACTATTTCTGGCAGACTGTAAAGGCCCTCAGTCTCAATCTGTTTTTCCTCATCCAGTCCATTACTGCCCTAAGACCAGGGTTAGGCAAACTTTCCCCTTTAAGGGCCAAGGGACTTCAGCTCCCAGAAGCCTCAGCCATGTTGGCCAATAGTCCCAATAGCTCCTGGGATTCTGGGAGCTGAAGTCCCTCAGCCCTTAAAGGGGAAAGGTTGCCTACCCCTGCCTAAGACAGTCATTGAGAGGAGAAATGCCATCTGAAGTCGAAGCTGAGGACTGAGACATGGAAAAGTGTATCTGGGTGTCATCAGCATACTGCTAACACCGCGCCCCATGTTTCCAGATGATCTCTCCCAGCAGCTTCATATATATATATATATATATAT